AATTTAACTTTGCATAATAGTAATATTCTCGCAGCTTTTACAAAGGAAATTTTAGTGCAATAATGCTTACTTTTGAAGTTAAAAAATGTACCTAATTGCTTTAATTTTGTTTTGTGCGGTCTAAGTAAAAAAATGACTCTATCTTTGCTATTTTGCCTATAAGTACAAGCTGCTTGGAATTTAAACTAACTAGTATTTTGCTGATAATTTATTGTAGAGATATAAGTAGATGTAACTAAGAGATGTCTAGTCTCCATGCTTGGAGCTTCCATAACGACCGCAGCAAACCGCGAAAGTTGGAGAGCTCTTTAATAGACTGAAAATATTTGCGATGCAAATACTAAGAGCAAAGAACTTTTCTGTTTCTGTTTTTGCATCTATCCTTTGGTGAAATTTAATTTAGTTCTCCGTTTGTTTGTAGACGGAGCCAGCGCTTTGTTGCATTAAAATAATAAGGTACCTACCTTTGTTTAAAATTTCTTGCTCAAAATGAATACTTATCTAAGTGTAAAGAGAATTCAAAATGTAATAATAGCTTTGTAAGTAACAGCAACGTTCGATAGTTATTATAAAAATCACGGAAGTCTGAATACTTGGCAATCATTTTAGAGGTAGAGTGTTTGTGAATAATTTACCTTCTAGTTTACGAAATAGTAGCTGTTATTTATGCAAAGAGGTTTGTATATAGCTATTATTTGACTATCACGAGTATTAAAGGTTTTGGTATTTGAGTAATTAAACATTTAAGCTGGCACACTTTGCCCATGAAAGTACACCATTATGTTTTAGGTATACTTATGTACTTATAACACACTAAATTTAACTTAAATATAACTCGGGTTTATGGAGGAAACAGTTTTCATATTCTAAGGCAGAGTTGCACCATCTTACTTTAACTTAGATAAACGTCAAAAATCTGTCAGATTCCATATAAAAAGCACCGGTTATGGTTATTGTTATGGGTAAAATAAGGTGGTGCAACTCAGCTTTAGACTTTACTAAAGTAAGATTGAGTTCACACGATCGAGCGGCTCGTCTCTTCTACATGATGTAAACGTAAAAGCTAACTATAAAATATACGATCTACGACGGTGCTGCGGTGCATCGAACTCTTCCATATCAATAGATATTACGACCTAGCTCGCGGTGGAGCGCATAGCGTAGGCACATTACATAATATATTCCTCTAACCAAACCGTATTTGCCGGTGTCAAGTTTTTGCTAGAAGCTGATTGTCTCCGAAAGTTGACTGAATTGAACAGCCATTTATCACGATTGATCCATCAGCTCGCGGCTGTCAGCCGGGAAGTTTTTCGTTTAGTGTCGTGTGCCCGCTCAGCGCGCCGTTATCGGGCACATCTCATGGGCGGAAGCGTAGGGCGGTTTCGGGATGAGGGCGCGCGCAAATGCTGATTACCTATCAGTCACTGTGATTAACAGTTCGAATGGGGTATAGATTTTATCGGTTTAGCTTAATTTATGCTTAAAAAATATCATTAGGTAATGGTGAAATGTTATCTTGTTACCTAATCGGCACGTAAATGATCCTAAGTAAACATCTGTGGTTAAAAGATTTCTAAAAATTAAAAAATTCTTATTGTAACGATATACTTTCCTATGGTGTTGTCTTGATTAAAAATATGTATATTCAAATATGATATCTGCACGCAAACAGACGTTTTACAACATGACTGTAATAGAGTATGTATAAACATTGAAGTAATATACGTAGTACATTATAACTCAATGTGTATAAAGTTGTTCAGAATGTTTTCTTAAATCGCTTTCTCGCAATATACAATGAAACTACATCAGACAGACTACAGATTTTTGTAGCAAAGTAGCACTTATAACAACTAAGTGAGGTGTCATAGTTGTCTATATGCCGTCGACTGTACCTTATTGCGTTGGCGGATCATTGAACTTTGGGTAATTCTACGAAATCAGAAGCTATGTACTATTGAGTATGTAACTGGAAATATTCTTACATCACATACAAATATTGTTGAACTGATTTATTTAACAAGAAAGGCTGTAATGTTTGCGGTCATTTAAATACAATTCACTGGATTTTATTCCACGGAATTATATCAATTATATTCGCGGCGGTGTTTCAGCTTAACGCATCGCATAGCTTTATCGGGTGCCACTGAAATTGCTACCTATTTTTGTGGAAACATTGAAGCTTGTATATTTCATTTGCAAAATTAAGCAATAAAGGACGAGATTAACAGAATTTTCAGTTTGCATAATATTATTTATTACAGGATACTAGGTAGTGGTAACATGCGTTGAATTAACTAGGTATGTACTCGTAAGTAGGTATAGTTGAGTAAGTATGTATAATTTCTATCCGTGCGATTGGTAACTACATTAGCTAATTATGTAGTAGCTGCATTAATTCTGAGATAAAATTTGCCTGTAAGCGATGAATACAAACATGCTATAAAATTAAAAATATAATTATTAAAGTTAAAGCGACCTATGACCTAAAAGATAAGATATTTAAGACGTTGTTTGTAGAACATAGTTTCTATCTAAATGGTAACAGCCAGATGAAGGTATAAACTTTCATCGTAGACTTTAGTAAATAAATACCTAATTTAATCTTAACTATGGCGAAAAGACTGTTGATGATTAAAAAATGGGATATGCATGACATATGTATCTTCCGAACTACATCCATATTGCAATCATTTTCATTAACGACTGGACAGACATCAGTCGCCAAAGTACCTAATTGGTTCATTTATTTGAGCCAAGACTACGTACCTACAGTTACGTATGTGTGTATGGCAAATCAGTTGCAAAGTTGTTTAAATTTTGTCATTTAAAGTTGTAGGAGGAAGTCGATCGGGGCATTACGTTATCCTTGTCCCAATTTTCTTTCCAAGTTCGGAGAATACAAACGTAAAGAAGTCTTATTTACAATATCAAATACGCTGTTTATAACAGCTTTATGTAGTACTATCCAGTGATCAATGAACAGAAGTAGTCGCATATTGCTGAACGTATTTTTCAGCTGAATATAGCAAGATTTTAGTAGGTAGGTTTTGTAACTTGTATATTAGAGCCTTCCCGAATATTATACCGTTGATGTATGTTGTTACCTAATTTGCCAGAGCAATCCGCTTAAAGTATATTCAAATTATGAAACCTGAGCAGATTCTCAGAATCCTTACAGTGAACATGTTTACGTAAATGAGCTAAGGATTTTTAAAAACACAAATGCTACGGGCATGTTACTTCAGACGATAAGTAAATAATATCGGAAGCACTGTTATACCTAATTAAAAAATAAATAAAATATTAAGCAGCTATTGTAATTTTTTTGCAATAGGTTACGTACTACGTGTAGGTACTACGAGAAAAATGTAGTATGCTGCGACCGGTGACTCTCTTTTCATTAAAACATAGTTTTCAGAAAGACGCCTGTTACAGTAATTTATGTTTTCAATACCAAAATTGTGATAAATATTGCTCAGAAGGTAGTATTATCAACCCTTACATTGTAAAATTTTACTACGCGCAGAGCGCTGAAACCGTTTAAACTTCTTGAATGCTTTCGCATTGTTTTTCTTTAACTTTACGTATTTTTGATAATGTCGACTTTCGTGATAAATTGGCTACCTAGCTACTTTGTATGCTTGCTGAAAGGATGCCAGAAATGTAAATGTAGAGTGAAGAAAATACATCAAGGAACTTCATGCTTTCCAGTGATGTTTTCCTTCGAGCTTTTCGTTGCATCTCTCACGTCCGCTAATTTTATCTCCGAAAATTGAATGTCAGATGTCTTACTCGTTGTGGGGGATATCCTCGAGCTGGTTGGCGAGCGCGGCGGCCGCCAGCAACGCCAGCAGCGCCAGCGGGCGCCGCGGCGACATTCTCCTCCTCAGCGCCATCGCACTCCCCACATGACAAGCGCACACGACCACTGCACCGGCTCGCTCTACATCGAACAACACCACTCGTAAGTCACAACAATGTCACGGAAGGGCGGACGCCACTCGACTCATCGGTGCTCGTGCAGTGTCAGCTCGGACGCGGCCGGTGTCGGTGCGGGCCGCAGGGCGAGGACGGAGCGTGTGAGCCGCGCACCCCCCGCCTCCCCGCGTCCCGCGCCGCGCCCGCACTGACGCTGCGCGCGAATCATACGCCCAATAACGCAGCGGCCTACTACTTATTACCGAGATTTATTCAGCATACGGCTGCGAAGCGATGGTCAGTGACCGATGCGGACAGCGGAGGCTGTGGGATCATGGGGGCATGGAGCACGGAGGCTGGGGCGGCGCGAGCTGGTGGTCGCACGGGGTCACGGCCGGTGGTCGCTCCACGCGGCCGCCACGCACATGCGTGGGCACGACGCCAGGAAATCCTTTATTGATTCCCGCGCTCCCGCTTTCTAAGGAATGTCACAGCGTTACTACCGCCAAAATTCCGCCGCTTTATAATTTAGACTAAGCGGATCACCGTGCGCCGGGTGGATTGCTTTCATTATACCTAACTCACTTGGTAAGCTCCTGTCAATTTAAATGAGGCGCGGAGCTTTACTTTTAAAATCTGAATTATGTTACGTCGGGTAAATAGATTTAGGTAGGTAGGTAATTTGGAAAACAATAGAATCTGGTTGGCAAACTTCTCATAATTACTTATAAGAAACCGGAAATAAAATTCGTCTATGCTTAACGCTTTCAGCTCAGGTTTATGTTTTTCAGTTGCGGGTAAGTAGAGAGACTTTAACAAATCATTATTTTTAATTATTTCGCATACTTTGCTTTGTCCCTGTTTACTGAGCCGATTCTGTTTTTTATGAAAAAAAAAAATTAAGAGCTTTGCTGCTTATAATAAGTTGCAGTTATTAAAAGCTCCGCGAGCGGTCGCGCGAGTCTTTGAAATATACGCGCGGGTAGCTCAAAGTGAAACGGAGCAAACCGCCTTGCACTTCAAATTAAATAAAACAAAAACGTTTACATTACACGGTGTTTCATTTATTTTCTCAATATAGTTGACATTTTATTTTGATTCACATGGCATTTTTAATAAATGCTGCAGAGAAAATAGTAGGCAATAATTTCTCAAGAGTGTTGAAACTTCCACAACGTACATCGTAAAAATAACAATAGACTAATATGAAAACAAACATTGTACAAGATTTGGTAATAAAACAGCGTTAAAGACAGATTAGATGGGAAATGGGAAAATCTATAATGAGAGAATAAAAGTTTATTGAGTTTAAAATGTGTTTGAGCTTCAAATATTTTTGAGCAATATTTGTCCAAAACAGATTAAAATAAATAAATTGTATAAAATGAAGGAAAGCATTGTCGGTATAATCTTAGTTTAACATTTTAAAACGATACATACTAATAAAACACTTCGTTTGGGTTACCATCTATAGTTTTTCGACAATATGTCAGTTAAATTTGTATAAAAATAAACGATACAAAAGTATTCACCCGCCGCGGCGCGGGCACAGCGCCTACGTTACTGTTACAGATAGTTATTTCTATATTTACAGAATATCGTTAACTTACATAGGTACGCATAAATTAATACAATCTAATAAGTACTTTGCACAAAACGTCACAACTCTATTTATTAATTTGTTTTTCTACTGAGGTCAGTATATCTGTCAGTTCATATTGATCCTAAATGCCGCATTGCTCCGGTGATACTTAACCACAGAATACTGTGTTTTGATCGTTAAATGCAGTCTTAAATGTTTACCTAAAGATCACAAAAATACAGATAAGGTATATTTAGAACACTAAATAATCTCATAAATAGGTACCTAGACTAATATTAGACCTAATTAATTTGTACAATAAATCTGAGATTTTCCACAGATCTTTCTGGTGACAGAACAATAAAATTATACATAATAAAAATAAATAATATGATAAATTAATAAAATTATATGACCACAGTCTTAGGGGAAGTTAATTGTAACAAAGAGTAGCACGTGACGACAATGGAAATGTCTTTATATAGGAACACGCGAAACAAAATACATTATGACGTCCTTAAAATGATATTTGGTCTTTACAATTAGAATGCACAACATTTTCCACTCTTTTCACGCCCGTGAATGCAGAGGAGTGTTTCCCACCAGTAAATACAATCTAATACATCACATTCAGAAAAGCTGCCGATTACAAAAGTGAACAATATTGTACAGCTTCAAAATAATATTACGCGTCTAAGACAAATGGATGAGCTTTATTGTTTGTTACTGGTTAGAAACAACCCCGAAGAAGTACTAGTGCGACCCTCATTGGAATGATTTCAGTACCACTCTGTATACAATAAAGCATATGCTGTGAATCGGATACTAGCACTTCGCACCGAATAAATGTAGCCTCCACTATATTCGTTGTTTAATAAAAACTTAGCTTAAAATAACCATCGTAATACTGTCTTAAGGCGTTGAACATGAGCTGTGTTGCGAACAAAAACATGACACGATTCACGCCCTCAACTATTGACATTCTACAATAAGTAAAGATGTCACTTCATCCGAGCATACGATGATATGCTATTCCTCAACTAACTATACAATAGTATTTAACGTGTTAACACGACGCAAGATTCACCTGACACAACAGTCTGAGCTTCAATGTCTAGAGGAGTCACTCTCGTGGCCAGAGTCCCTGCCGTTCTCCCTTGGGGAGGCGCGGTGGTCTCTGTCGTCTCGATACCGGTCCCTGCGGTCGCGATCTCGCGATCTCTCTCTGTCCCGCATGCTTTCGCGGTCTCGCTCCCTCTCGCGGTCGCGGTAGCGGTCCCGCTCGCGATCGCGGTCCTCACGGTCGTCGTCGCGGTCGCGTCGGCGGTCGTAGTAGTGGTATGTTCTTCGTGATTTTCTGTCGCCAGGAGTTACCACTTCCACTTTGATGTTCGCTGTTGCCGTCACCTAAAATGAAGATAAATATTAGTCATAGTCATAGTCATTTATTCCATAAACAATAACATTATCGTATTGGAAATATTACAAAAAACATGAATTAGTAGGTAAGTGAGTCTATTATTTTGTGTATTTGTTCGCAGTTTGGTTAAGACATTGCAGGCTTGAAAGCTGGAAAGAAATTATGATTGATTTTGAAAATTACCTTCGTAGTGATAGCACCAGAATGCGGTTTGGACGTTGGCGTGGACCGTCCCGAGGCAGAATCGCTGCCATTGTACGTGGTCGTCTCCACCACCACCTCTGGTTGGACCATGATGGACTGCATCGATGACTGCACTGAGGAAGCAGAGCTGTGCCAGCTTGGAGGCTCTTCAGTGATGGTGGTGAGGGAAGGTGCGCTAGGCCGCGCCGCGGAAGACTTGGCGCGGGATTTGTCGCTGCTGGTATTGTTCGAGCTGGACTTCCGAGGTTGCACTGGCGAGCACTTCGGTGAGGGGGTGGACAGACGCTCTGGATGCTCTAGAGGTCGAACCTAAAATAATATAGCCTTATTAGGTACAGTTTTTCTTCTGAATGGGTATTTTAGCGGTAGATTCAGTTTCATTACGTTCCAGAATTTATATGTCGCAGAAAAGTTATTGAATCAACTGTTAAAGCCCTTTTTGCAAAAGATAAATGACTCTACTTTTGTTGAGGGTGTTGTTTTTTATTTACAGAAATGATTGATGATTGAAATTACCTCAGCCGCAGGCCCTAGCAGCGATAGCACTATGGGGAAGAAGAGGAGGCCGTCCACCAGCCCTAGCAGCACCAGCGCTAACAGCAGCCGCAGGAACAGCCGCGCCACGAAGCCAAACTCGCTGGTGGCTAACATGCCGGCCGCTAGTGCAGCAGCCAGCGCGCCGTGGGCCACTGGGGCTAAGACTGCTTCTAGTGCCAGCGCCACGCGCCGCCGTCGACAGCCAATGGAGGTTACGAATGCCTGCAGAAAAATGCTGGTTGAGAATGGGTTGGACGTGAAACGCAGACAGGTGAGCTTTCTGATTGGATTAGAAACTAGCCATAATTTATTACGTTCTACAAGAATAGAATACTAGAAGCATCCAGTATCTATTTGGAAACATACTATTATGTTTTCTGAGATGTTAACATCGGTTGGTAAAGAAATGACATCTGATCAGTCATCAAACTCTATACAAACTACTCATTTACCGTTACTCGAATATGTGCGTAAAAAAACATAAGAACTTACCAAACACAAATGTACGGTGAAATGCACGCCTCGCCCGATGGCCAAAACTAGTAAGACCGCTGGTACTGCAGAAAGCTTGACATCCAACAACGCCATCGTCCCCAGTAGTTGTAGCACTAAGGTCGCTAACGCCAGAGTCACTAGTAACGCTGCCCACGCATTTAGAAGCAAAACCATTACAGCCTGAAAAAAACGATTTACCATTAAAACCATGAACATCTTTTAAGTAATCAAATATAATTGAGTACTATTTAATGACTTTCACTTACCACAAATACAGCAGCTAACGCACAAGCCAGGGCTAGGAGCAGCGAAGTTCTTAAGTACAAATACTGCTCCCAAAACAGGAACGGAATACCAGACGGGAAATTAGACAATCCTTTCGCTTCAAATCTCAAACACAGCTCGCGGACTGACATTATCAGCTGCTTTATGCTCTCCGTATCGCTGAGACCAGATAAATAGAACGGGAGCTGTGCATATATCAAAGGCGACGATTTCGGTATCTTCAAATCTGTGTCAGAAGGTGAATGTATCCACGTCTTAGGCTGAGGTTTCAAGTTACCTTGTGACGCTCCATATGCCAGAGCATCGTTACTCGCCCACGCTGATAGATAATTGTAAAACGCCTTCGGATTTATAATACCGTCTTTATCGACTAGCCTGTGACCGTTCTTGGTGTCTAGAGTGACTAGTGTCTTGTCGATAGGATTATCCACGTGTCCCGTCTGCACCATGAGTTTGTAACCCAGTATACCCTCATCACTTGCGTTTTTGCACCAGCATTCCTTGGTAATGCAACCACTTTCAACTTCCTTGTCGTAGGCAGCTTGTAGGTCCAGAAGCCAGTCTCGAAATAGGCTAAGCCAAAATTTCGTCAAACCACCATTGTCGTTCTTTATTATGTTCGGTATTCTAACGAATTGGTCGTGGTATTCGTATAACAGCTTCTGATTCGTGGGATATTCAAAATCTCCTTGTGTAACGGCGTACATGCTGTAAAATCCAAAATACTTTTCTTGCCTTGAGAGGAATTCGTGCTCGTCTGTATTTTCTGGCACTATATCGGTAAGATCCAGACCATCCTTCACTTTAGTTGCTCCCCATACACTAGCTAAAATTAATACGATCAGCGCTAACATAGATGTAACCTGAAAATACAAAACAATGTGTTATTATAATGAAATCAAGTAAGTCTTGAGGACTCCAAGTTAGAAATTAATAACACTTTAATAAGTAATAGGATGGGAATATACCTTTACTGCTGGCCTCATGATGAAAGGTGCGTAGTGATTTTTCGCCCATTTGGTCAAAGATAAACTCAGACAGCAGGTTTTCTCAGTGTTGCCGCCTTCATCTGGATCTAACGGTTGTCTCGTGGTATCCTTCCAATTGGTCTGTAAATTTTAAGCTTATTTTTAGTCAAGTTTGAATAGGATGCAAGTATATTTATTTTATTTTAAACAACTCTTATTTGATTACCCCGAAATGGATTATAATCATACCTTGGTTTTTTCAGGCCGTGATCTCGATCGTTCATTGATCTTCTTCTGTTTGACAGGCAGCGGGCTTTCGGGGAGAAGACAGCAAAGTAGATCAGCTCTAGCGGCAGATCTCCGTCGAAGGTCCAAGGAGATGATGGCGGGGAACACTAGTAGCATTGATCCTACATTGAAGAGTAGAAGAATTGCAGCCTGAAAACAAAAACACACCATTTTTAATTTTCTTTTTGTACATTTTGACAATCATTATCATTATTGATTGATTAGGTAAATATTTCGTTGATTAGTTAAATAGTTACTGACCTGTAGGCAGAATACCCTCAACGCTGGAATAGGCAAGAGGGCTGCGGCCAGGAACACCATGACATTGCAGAGGGAAGCCAGCAGGACGCTAAGTCCACTCTTCTTCAGCACCAGCCCAGTACGCTCTTCCCTGGGCACGTCTCCAGATTGTTCCACGTACGCGTGTGTGAGGAGGAACATGTCTTGCACTCCTAGACCGAGGGCCAAGAACGGCACGATTTGGGTACTGGACGCGTTGAATGGAATACCTGGAAGAAAACATTTCATGTATACCATGGAAATCAGAGAAGAGTAAGAAAAAAATCATAAAAATAACTGTAAAAGACTAAGTGAATAATAAAAACAAAAACAAATTATGAAACAAAAAATAAATAATCACCTAATAAAGCACAAAAACCTAGGCCGGCAGCTACCGTGATAGAGAGGAGTAGGACACCGGCTATACCAACACCGGTTTGCGAGCGAACGGGGTCTTTCCATTGCATCAGAGTCACGGCGACATAAATCAACTGAAATATCAACAAAAAATAAGCTAAAGAAAAATAAAACAAAAGAAAATCAACAGAACGTAAAAACAAAAGACAAACCAAAGTTAAACAAAAATTGCTCACCATAAACATGTAGCCCAAAATAATGTTCTTGAGGGACAGTTCTGAGAATTTGCCAAGGATGTCGTTGAGTGTCGAAGTTGAAAAGGGATAGAAGCTGTATGAAGATGACACCGCTTCTGATGTGGTCATTTTGCGGACCTCCTGTGGACAAAAGGGATTTATTTAATGACATAATTATTGGTTTGAGAAAATAAATACATGAAATGTATTTTGCCGATGAATCAATGATTGGAGACTTAAAATTCATAAAGCTTTACTACAAAAACATTTTTTTATTTGAAACATTGAACTAAACATTAAACTTACAATTGCAAACTTCCTCTGCCACGCGTCTAGCACAGCCGCCGCCTTCTCCTGATTCCAGCCCACATGGTGCACTTTATAGTGGTCGGACCAGTACTCGTACATCTCTCGCTCGCCCATCAGCTGCACCACCGTCTGCAGGGCCTTGGCGCTGCGCAAGGCCGACGTGGAGTTGCGCGTCGCGCCGCCGACGATCAGCTGCTCGGGCCAGTGCATGTACGCGGCCGCGAAACCGTAGCACCCGTGGGACAACTCGGCTGCTACATCTGGAATCTGATTTGGGAAAGAGGAATAAGTATCTGGCTTCACCTTCCTAAAAATAATTTAATTACATGCTTCGAAATTTCATCGCAGGTAGGTTGATTTTACGATCCAATCGAATATTTTATCAGTCGTAAATTCACATCAGTAAAAGAATCAGGTGCATGTCGCAAGACATTTTAATCGGGTTCCAAGAACCCAGTTTGACATAACGTCACCTGCTCTTGACTATATTATTTAGGGGACAAAGCAAACGAAATACAAAATTTACGATGTTTCCTCGAAACTTTTCTTGTAACGAGTAGTGAGCATTATTGATATAATAGTGTCATTGTGACGGGCGATAGCAGCGGCAAACGAGGCCCATTGAAGCGTGTACAATGCGCCCGCATAATGCGGCGCGGTCCGCTGCGCGGGCGCAAGGGACAATGCGCGCCAGATCTGCGCCGCGGCCCTTCGCCGAACGTGGGTGGCGGCACCGACCCAACTCGTGCTAACAAAAACGATCTCCGACCGAGTGCGCTTCCAATGCGCTGTTTTGTCCAAGGTAATTTGAAAACAAAATACACCGTTCTTTTGCGGTACTAATTCGTGACTGCTCGTTCTGTTTCAGTAATAACTAATTCCGAGAAACATGAGTTCCGACTAATGAGTAAATATTTCCTTGCGAAACAGTGTCGCACGGAGACGATGTAATCACACGTGGTCGGATAGTTAGTTGTGTAACTTTCTCGGGCCCGCCGCGCCGCGCAGGTAGCCGCGCCATCTGCCCGGCGGCGACCGCTTTCATCCTGCCTTATTACCGTTTCCAAAAATATTTTATTATTATGGAAAGTATTTAAAGTTTATGCGTTCGCTTGATAAAGTTATTTTATTTGTCGTGATCCAACACGCTTTATTTATGTGCCAGTAAAACTGTCGTAAATTGAAGTCTTCATAAAAGGACGGGAGTTGTCGTAATGGTCCCTAATGTGGGTCTCACGCAACCGTAACAAATGATTTCAAACATGGCTCACTCTCGCTTGGACACAAAAGACGGTATTTTGCCCTAATGATCTAAAAACTTTACAAACGGTTCCGTCGAGAATTATAGCGATAAGCGATTACATAGTAGGTATGGTTACCGGAGTGCGATATTATTCTTACTACATACATAAAGATAATAAAAATTAGATAACTTACATGGCCTGATTTTTTGTTGGGTGCCGTCTCTGGACATTGAGGGTCGGTGGGGTCCAGGCACGGCTTTTTCATGTAAGCGTATGTGATGCCCGCTCTCTTCATGTAAGCCTCCATCGTTCTCCATGGGAACTGGATCTTCAATGATTTTACTTCTTCTAACACATCTTGTGGGTTTAACTGCGTCCATTGTAGCTTATTCTTTAGAATACTGCAAAATAAAATATATTTTTTACAATCCTGTACCCTTTAAAAAGACCAGAGGTCCTATCAATCTATCCAGGATTTCAATTGTTACATGAAGTAGTACTTACGGTACGTAAATAGGATTATCAGGTCCAAGTAGCTTGGATCCTTCCCAAAAGCAGTCAAGCGGGGTGGTGATGGCACAAGGTACGATGTTGTCGAAGATGTTCTCGATGTGTTCCGCTTCGAAGTCTGGTATGCTGGGGCTGTAGCAGAGATCTTTCAGCCGCCACTCCAGGTCGTACATATGCACTGTCACTCGGGTCGCTGCGTGGACTACCTGCGTAGAAACGACGAAAAAACCGTTGAATTGCGATTCATATCTTTTTTGGATGGTATCACGTTGTACAGGGCACATTCATGATTTTGTGATCTTACTATGTTTAGAAACTAAGGGGTCAGATTCGGTCGGTTACACTAAAATCAATGAAATCTAAGCGCATACTCTGAAATTGGACTGCGCTATCTAGATTTTGCGATGCCGCGAGGGCTCTACCTTCCAATAGCATGATTGCATCAAATTGTAACTTTCATAGTGAATGCCAAGAAATCAAATTTCTATGTAGATTCTACAATAGATACAATATTACTACTACTAGAATAGATCGTAGAATATAATGTTTAGGTTTTCGTCAAAATCAAACGGATGAGGTTCAACTATGCTAGTTTTAGCTGGGCTTGTATTCTAATTCGAGTCTAAAACTTGATACAAACTTGAAGAAAATATCCTAGTCTACTGTTCTAGTGACCTATCTATTATAAGATATTAGCTTTCCGCCCGCGGCTTCGCCCGCGTGGAATTTTGTCTGTCACAGAAAAACTTTATCGCGCGCGCGTCCCTCTTTCAAAAACCGGGATAAAAACTATCCTATGTCCTTTCCCGGGACTCAAAATATCTCTATGCCAAATTTCATCAAAATCGGTTCAGTGATTTAGGCGTGAAAGAGAGACAGACAGACAGACAGAGTTACTTTCGCATTTATAATATTTGTATAGATTCAATAACTTGTAAGTGTAGGTACCTTTAGGTGATCCAGCAAAGCTCCCGGGTGCAGCAGCGATGCGTCCGGGTCCTTAGCGGTCTGTATGATGAGCTGGTGTGTTGAGAAGTCCGCTTCGCCCAGTGCCTTCGCGGTGTACTTTAGTTCTGCTTCTAATCTCCCACCCTCTGCAACAAAGACGTTTACTTTTATAAAAAGAACGCAGCGCTGATATAAAAAAACATAACACTATCATTTCCAATAAACATTTATGTAAATTTTTAACCGAAATTAAGCAGTTTCCGTTTTTGTCTGTAATTAACTGTTAATCGATACGCATAGCCATTATTTGGTTTTCTTTCAGGCAAGTCACCTGTTCGCATTCATTAATACTGTGATTTTATACCTTAATCGCAATTTAATTGTGTTGACATTAATTATTTTTGGCTTTTGAATACAAAATAAATATACTGATTATTTTGTAATTACCCTGATTCGTTTTTAATAAGAATAAATAATACATATAGTAAGTAATTGTTTCGTAAATTATGTCATTAAAGTTCCTGACCAAGAAAAAGTTCAGTACCATACATAGGAATACCATAAATTGGCCACATAACTCAAAAACCGTATGGATAAGGAGCAGTAAGTGCTGATATTTAAAAAACAGGGCAATTTAAAATAACCGTTTAAGAAAGACGTAATAACGCATAGAAATTAATTGGAGGAATAGGTAATGCACAAATCAACGATGATATTTTTACTAAGAAGTATCTACTGTATCCAAATGGTTTAAATACAAAAATACCTATGAAATAAAATAACTGTTTTGGTAAAAACATGTTATAAAGGTAGAAGCAAGGACAAGTTTTTAATGTGATATTGAATTGATGGATGTTCCGAAGCTTTTAGCGTTTTAAATACTGCCTCGTACTGGCACCGGCGTTCTGTCTTCATTAATTACGCTGGGCTCCGCTGATAATGCACCTGCTTTCTCTGTGTGGGTTCCGTACGTCGTTGCCTGAAGTAGAACATGACAATAACGTTCATCATGTCACCTTGAGGCAGTCAATTAAATACATTAAACAATATTGACGCTCTTACTTAATTAGGTTCATGTATATAGATAATAAAGACAGGCGTTTATAATGCCATTCGCACGGTTTCGATTAAAAGAAAAATACATTTGTTTAGCGGGCGATTTAGTTCATGTTTCCAAGAAACTTATTTAATTTTATCGTTTTGAAAGCTGACTTATGTAGCGAGCTTTCCGTTGAAAGCAATCAAGCGCAGCATAATTCAATCTAAGAATACGACTCCACGTCAGGAATGTGGTGGTATAAAAACTGCGTTTAATTTTAGCTGTCGCACCCCATCAGCACCTATGGTTTATTGGAGAGTGTCGACACGTTAGCCGGAGCGGAGTGGCAGTTAACACATCTACCAGTGATTTATCGCGAAGTTGTGACAACCCATCCCGTCTCCCTCCCACCCTCCCTGTCAAACTACGGCACCATGTGTTCGGGTTTAATTAAAAATGAATACAATGTGAATGTTCTTTGATTTTCAACAGTTACGAAAGTCACCGTTTATGTCATCCAAATTCTATATACGCTTTTTCTCAACGCAGTAGTAAAGGGTATTTATTTATTTAATATTGATTGATTCATTCTGGATGTTGATTATCATATAAATGAGGGCAGAGCAGCATAACAGCAAAACATAAAAATGCATAGCACCATGTGCTGTCGCTCTACATTAATTTAAAACAAGAATAATAAACGTAGAATCTCAAATTATCGAAGTTTTTGGTCATTTAACACAGAACCTTAAAATATTAATTCAATGTGTACTCATCACGAAGTCAATTCAATAGTGATGAGGAATTTAAAAAGGTCCCTTCAGCCATTTGCGTCGGCTGCGAGGAGTCGTGTTCGTTATCAGTACGACGCGGGAATTCGTTCCAATTAACACCCTTCCAGCTAATTTACTTGGGCCGGTTTGTCCAATTTTTTTGCACTAAATTTGGTTTGGTTTGTGAAGTGTCAGAAAAAATGTGGCCTGTCAGCGACCCTACCAAGGCCCCATCGATGTTCATTTATTTTTATTAGGAAACAACTTTATAAGTAGGTAGGTATTCGTTAGAATCTCAGATTGACTTACAAAATGCACTTCCTTTGCGGATGAACAGGAATAAAACCACTAAAGTTCGAAAGTTTCAATTGGTGTGTATACGAGTGTAAATTTCAAACCACTCAAAGCAATTTCTTTATTAGACACGGAAAATCATAATTATAGATTTGAAAACACAGATCAGACAATAAATAATAATTGCCATAACCTCACACATTCCGACGTTTTACTGTAGATTACATGATGAAGCGTAAAGGTGATAGCAACGGTAAAATAGAAAACGTATTGATGAATCGTGCCATGAAAATGACTATTCATATCTCTATAGGATTATGTTAGTCACCGCCGTAAACTGAAATAGTTTTCTTGGAAAGCGCTACACTTCCTTTACAACAACAAGTCAGCGTAAGGCGATGTAGAGTCAAATGAGGTTTCAAGCCATTAAAGTTTTGTGTTTTATGAAAATATGAGCAAGTCACATTTACTTGGAGCAATTTTAAAACTGCCTATGTAGCTATATGAATAGTTAACCGCGACAATTTGTGCCTAAAGTGCCGAATGCATTGTTCGCCGAGGGCACAGGTTGAGCGGCATGCCAATAAGGTTCAGCCCATACCACCTGTTAGACCACAAGCCAATTTTTTGTCCCGAGATTGTAATAATACTAATGTCATCATCGCCTTTTCGCAGAACACTTTGTATGTAAATGAGCTTAATAAGCGTTACAAATTACAAAAAAGATTCCGACAAAAAGTATAGAGCCTTGTCAAGAGTTTTTGTATCTTAATAAATTTATATTGTGATTTTAACATTTAAATATCACTTCATTATTTGTTGAAGTCACTTAATGAGCTTATGCAGCCTAACAAGCATTTGACTTGCTTGTTAAGCGATCAGCATGAAAGGTAGAGTCACATAATGTTCTAAGTTTCAATTCGGAATAGGATCCAGAACCATACTATTATTTATTTTGGTCCTAAATGTCGTATCTGGTGAAGGGTTTGGTAATATGAGCCATCCGTTAATGAGATAAATTTAAGGGCTGATCTCCTCCAACCTAAACATAGAACACGCCTCGTGCCGGATATTAGGGATTATCATAAAGCAAGTGGAATGGAATCGGAGTCGGTGGGCCGCACAGGGCGCCTCTATTTTAACACCTACTAGCGCCGTGGGCGCGATTTACGACGCGAACGCTACTCCACCACTCGTTGGTATCGTGGAGATGGATTTAAGTATCGGATTGTTGACGCTATGAATCGTTTCGAGGGATTAGTTGTTTGGAGAAAAAACTTAGAAACGGTTTAAGTTTACGACACGTTTCACATAACGAATGTATGCGCACGCTCCTAAATACGCCCGTAAAACGCGAGCGCTGAGGGTCTGCTGGAAAGCGCGGAAACATCGCAAGGTCGCGCGGGGTTATCGCGGCGTCTGCGCGCCGAGCTTTCACGCTCATCGCGGTTATCGGTCTCTTATGTCACTGACGTGCGGCGCCTTTCATGTCCCTGCTACTAAAATATAAGTTATGTTTACAGTTGACGCACTGCACTCGTTAGTGACAATGGTATCTAAATCTGTCAACTTTGAAGCGGTCAATGCGAATCTCGGGCATTTTATTGCATTCTCTGTGCGTGCAGGACGATAATGACAACATTTCTACTCGATGTGGTAGCGGGCGATCAACGCGGACGATTGCAATGAATGACGTCCGCGGATAGGTGCGCGGGGAGCGAGGCAGTACGTGCGCGGGCGCATGTGGTTGTGGCCACCCGCGCGCGCGCCGCGCCGGTGTGGTCCGCGCCGCGCCCCGCGCACCCCCGCTTGGCCCTCTATGCAAATTAGCCAGAGCGTAGACAACAGATGGATGGCGAAATAAACAAACCGCGTCCTTTGCGACTGACGCGGTCGAATCTTGTGCGAACACCCCACTATTCAAGTAAAAAGTACCTACAAGTCTCACATAACACGAGAGATAAAGCCAATGATCTATAGCAGACATTGCGGACATAAATCTTAATAATGTTTTGCGTCACATGTCCTTCCTGGGTAACGTTCAAGAAACAGAAAATAAACAACCCGTATTAACATTAGGGTCACGGTTAGCAAATCCATTGCTCTGGTGACCGGTTTTCGGGCACAAAAACTAGTCGCATTTAGAAAGAAGCTCGCACGCCACAGAACTTGAAGCTGCGTGCGGTACGCACTGGTCGATGATACATCGCAGGTAGGCTCGATGTTTGATTACAAATTACATGAAACTCCATGTAATTAACCTACCTTTGGGAGGTCTTTTATTCAGGAATTTGACATGCATAGATTTGTATCTAAGCAAATGCGTGTAGACGTTTAATCAGCCCGTGTGTAGAAGTTTAATTGTAAACTCCTTTCTACTGATTCGTCGATATCTTTTGTACGTCGAAAGTGCATGCATATCTTGGACTTTATGTTTTACACTGTGATTTTTTTCTGTTGCATTTTTCTTGAATATTTTCTACTTTGTTTTGAACTTGGCTACGGCATGGAGCTTTGGAATCGACGTTCGAATAATAAAAGGCAAGTGTGGAACGGAACGGAGCGGAGCGCAGCACGACGTCTCCTCACAAAAGCGGGCGCACAATCAGATCCCTCGTTTTTTGTTAGTCAATAGAAATGTTATACATTTTTTTAGTTTTATTGGTCGTAATTTCACGTGGGGATATTTACGGGCGGCCGCGGGCCACCTAATTAAGTTGTTAGGCGACTCCAGGATCTTCGGCATTGTTTAACAGCCGGCTTTGTTCCGCGATAAGGTTTTGTGAGGCCGTTCGCTTCGAATATTTGTGTTATTTGGACAGTAGCTATAGAGTGAGCTCTTAATAAAACTGGACAGTGATGTGTTCATTTATAAATGAATGAGGAATCATGTTGTTCTCCTTTTTATAGAATGAAAGGTCTGGGTTGTTTTGGTGTTTTGATTTCCTCGTACTTCTGAGTGGGTGGGTTGGGTAGGTAATTTTTGTTACATATACACGATAAGAAATCGATTGAAAAAACTTGCACTCCGAGAGCGGCAGCCGAAGCGACAGGTGCTTTAATAAAATCGCCCACTTCCTCCATGAAAGAAAGAGGTAACGCGAAATCTTTATAAAGATAAGTACAGCTGTACTACTGACTGTGTTTCAACGTTATTTTTTGTGTAAATCCGTGTACGCACTATGAACATGTATAGTATAGATATTTTTGAGTTACTTATTGTATATTGCGGACCCGATTTATTCACACACTTGACTTACCTACTTACAATCATTAATAAATAGTGTCATCTGGTTTCGAATCATATGAGTGGATCAAAGTCATGATTGAGATTTCAAAATGCCTACTTAATGATTCAATATCATAAAGTCACGCATTCCAGAGGCCGATTTAAATAAATACAGAAAACATCATGCCGTGAGCTTATTGAGTAACCGCGTGTATTCCCATGAGCTTGCGTTAGCCTCGTAGAAACTTTTTCGAACTTTGACCTTCTTACGCATAAGGATTTGACGTTTTACTTAACATTTGAAAGTAAAAGTATGCTACTCCAATGGAGTAAAGTACCCTTTAAAGAAATTTTGTAATATTTGACGCTAAAATATTACTACGCAAAAATCATTTTAGCGTACTACGTGTACTAGCGCTAAAATCAATAGAGGGATGTTGCACAGTCAACAACGGATATCCCTAATACCCCCGAGCTTCCGTTCACATCAAAATATAAGTCCACCATAAAAACAATTATTAAATACACAATTTTAAGGATAATTCTCTTCGTCCGCCAATCCCAAATAATCATAAAACTAATCTGAGGACCACCCAACTTTGATGGAGGTCTGTTCTTTTATTTCACCCTTTTGTGTCTCGGCCTTTAAGGTCATTTCCTCGTATTCAATGCCAAGGGAATCGGGGATAGTAAAACGAGTATTAGTGGACAAACAAGTTGTAAAATTAAATATTTGAGAAACACGTTATTACACTCATTTATTTTATGGAGTGTACGAACGTTAGTGGTCAATACATTTGCACTTAAATGCGTATAAGTTAGAGATGTTCTTTCATGTCGGCTTGTCAGGTAAATCGACAAAATATGTGAAAAATGTAAGAAAAGTTTACAAAGTCACCTGTTAAATCCATATAACTTCTATAAATAGTTAAAAATGTATACGCTAAACCGCTAAACTATTTTTACGACTGTCAACTCTGCGTAGGTTGGCGGTTGTGGCACATAGAAGTATTTTGAATCTAATTTGTTGACTTCAAATACATTCTTGTGCTACCATAAAAACACGCAAATTAAACAGAATACTGATAACTATCAATAAAATCAATAAATTCGGTCAATAAGAATAGAATTCGTATTAAAATCGAATATAACATGGAATTTATGAGAATGGAGAGTGGCTGTTTGGGATGACTGTAAAGAGTTAATAGTTATATTATACTTATGTATTTGATAAATATCTTTATTTTAATTAGTTTTAGATTAGTAAAAGTTTTTTTTAACTATGGACTTATCTTTTAATGACTAAGAAAATTATGCGATGACTAAAAATTTAAAAAAATTGTCGCTACATTTCCACCTAAGTAAAAAGGTAGAGAAAGCTTAGATAAAGTCAGAAAAACTACAAAACCCAACAAAATTAACGGGAAGTGGAAAGCTGATATTCTTTCGTGATACAAAAAAGTTACAAAGTGCATCAAGATATAGACGTCGTGGCACAATACGTCCCGTAGAATACAAATGCGCCGGCGCGGGCGCAGCGACTTCCGCGCGGCGACGTGTCCCGACTGCGGCGCGGACTACAAGCGCGCCGCGGCTGTCGCGCCCTTAAACGATAAACTTCATTTTAATACGATGAATTTTAATTCGACAATCGAAGATCTTGCCGCTGCGTCCGGTACGATACTAGCCTTTAATTTCGTTTAATTGTTTTCAAATCTTGCATTCAGTCGCAATGCATGTGTCGACCAGAATAACAAAATAAATGCACTTCCTTTATTGCACATTCAACGCATAATATTTATGTAGTGAGTAGGTACTTACCTAAGTAATAAATGAAAGATGAAAGGGAGTAACACATAATTATTTTAATTTTATTTTAATTTACACCGAATCCGAATACGTATTTGAAGTTTGAACATCCTAGTTACCCTACATGAAGAACGGTCATTAATGACTAAATCACAGTCATGTGAAGCTTAAAAGTCATCAATTCAATAAGAATATCAGGCTTCCTATAGTCTTAACTCTAAATACTCGTAGCTTTAATGCTTTTTTTATATCTGACCGTGACCATTTTGAAAACAATCGCTTTTGCAAAGTCCTTAACTTTAAATGTTGAAGCATCAACACAACTTACCTTGTACCCAGAGTTGGTCGACTCTCGAATGTATCTGCGCGGACTTGAGCCCGACGCAGAAGGTCGAGAGCACGAGGATGGCGACGAACAAGACCTTCCCAGCGTCCCCTTGCAGGAAGCAGCCAAGGATGAACAGCTGTTCCTGCAGCCAGGCCCGGATCCACAGCGACGTTCGCCCGCCTTCGATGTTGCCCTGTGGACATTTGCTACATTAGGAATGGACAGTGGCGGCGTAGCATGGGTTGGCAACTTGGCACCCTACATATAGCGGGTGGCTAAGGCACCCCAGAATGGTTTGGTGCCCCCCAGGATTTTTGGGCGTCAGTGGGTACAAATCACACCGTTGTCACCCCTGATGCTTGGCACCCGGGGCAGACCGGGAACAGAAAAGAAGAACTATGCCTGGAGACAATGTAAAATTCAGTGTCGAGTTCAATATCAGTTTATGCAACATGGAAGAAGAACCTGCACCTAGAGTCAATGTAAAATTCGGAGTTCGATATTAGTATATCATTATTTTATTCCTAATTTAGAGGCGTAGCGAAGTGATTAAGAAATTCAATCGGTCTCAATTGTTACATATTCCAGTTAAAGGATTCAGTTTGCCAGAATAAAGCAAGCATAAGTAGAAGGTGGAAGTCATTTCGCATTAATAAGTTTATCAGCAAACACGTTATGTTTAGCAGCCAAAAATTTAACTGATAAAGATGATTCTAATGATTTGGAAGTTCTCTTTATGAGACCAACATCCTTTGTTGATGATGATGATAACATAAAGCAAAATGAAATGTGGGTTGAAATTGTGAATGTCTTTGAATTGACAAAATTGTTAATATTGCTAAGAAGTACTTTATTTATTAGTGGAGTCGAGAAAGTTAAACATGACAAGCTACAGTGATTCAGCAACATGAATTTAGTGTTTTTGGACTGCGTTTTTAGGATGTTCTAGTCAATTTTGCAGTAAAAGTTAACCCGGAAGTGAATTTCTGATCAATGGTAGCTTGATTACGTTCTAATAACCTTTGTCTTCGTGATGTAAGTTAACGTCATCCGAATTCCACAGCTACTGTTAAAATGGACGTGTCATCTTAACTCTCCTTGTACATGAATTGCAGAGGTAGTTTTATTTTACAACCAGTAGCTGCTCAACATGCTGCGTCACGCAGACCTTTCGCTCTTTTAACCCTCGATCCCGAACTGCGACGAGCATTTTGACGGGAGATCATAATAATATCAAAGTTTTTGAAACGTCGAAATAATTTCTCAGTTGATTGTGATTAATGACGTACGGCGGTGAGAGACAGGCGCGGCTGCGCTGGCGCCGGCGCGGCCGGGATGAGCCGCCCGGGCACAGTTCGAATCTCGTCAAGCGCCCACTAATTGCATAATAATAACTCAATCGACGTCTCGTGTTGAACGCAACGATTACGCGATCCAGCCTTAAGATACTCGTACCCTTATTTCCGCCGCATTTCTCCCGATGTGAGCGAAGTGCGGGCGGTCTCTGTATTTTTACGACCGTGTTAAATTGTTTTTCTCAATGATGTTCCCGTCTGACGAGTCAATTAATTTCAACAAATTGCGCACCATCAATATTGACTAGATCTGGTTTTTATAAGGAATAACTTTCACGGTTTGGACGAACCCTGGGAACGGCTCAGCTTTAACCGCTACTGCGTTACTCGCAGCTCGCGAGAACGAAATGCGAAGCTTTATAACTGCAATTAAAACATCGTTAGCGACCTGAGCGAATTCCAAGGCGTTTATTTTCAATCGGTGTACTGAACCGCGCTATTGTGCGAGGAGCAGGTTCGCTGAACCATCGGTCGTTTCCCGCCGAATCGGTGATGTTTAGCTCCTGAGCGTAAATAAATAGTCGTAGTAAGAATAATGGCAGATACAGCGAGAGCAGTGGAACGGTTCGGCATCGGCGGGCGAGCGGCGAGGTGAATGTCGGGCGCTTTGGGTGGGCGTGACGTCACGGCCGGAATGCGACCGCGCCGCCCGCGCCCCCCAGCGCCCGCGCAGCCCACGTGTACCGTACGCAACGCATCACGCTGCACCACCACCGTACAGAGGATTCTCCGTTTAGATACCAAATGGTGCACTTATGCAACACTAAGGCAACTAAGCCGAGTGTGCGGAAAACTCCCTAGTGCAGGCTACTGTTGTTGACGCAAGAACTGGATTAGTTGTTATAATCCGCGCTGCGCCGGCGCCGGCGAGTGCGCTTCCTGCAGATAAGAGATTAGGGCACTATGAGCACGTTCTCATTGCTACTACAGCCTGTTGAGAAACACCCCACTATTCGAACCAAACGCCTGCATACTTGGTTACCTTACAAAGTATTATTCAAAAGAGTATCCTTTTGGAGTAAAATATTAAGCAATCGGATGTCACCGAATAGTCAATTAACAGAAGTTGGACGATTAATCAAAACTTACAACATTTTCAGACTGATTTCGTTTCTTATCAGAGGTCATTGAAATTGTTAGCTTAATATAGATATATATTTAGACTGATGAATGTCAATTAACGCGGAAGTTATAATTGTGTTACTAAGTATCTCTATTTGAAACCCTTACATCCTGAATAAACAAACGGATCGTGATCCTTTATGCATATTACCCTTCAAGTAGCCTCACTGGGACGTGTCATATACGACGTGATAAGCATTCTTCATTCGCTGTTGCATAATACCTATGTCATTTAATCAAGTCATGTCCACACTAAGCTGCACTTCAACAAAGAAGTTCAAGTTATTCATATGATTATCTGCGACTTCATGGCATCGTGCTGTTGATAAGGACTTTTGTGAAACTTTTTTCAGAACAAATCAATGCTGTCCTTCTACTAATCCAAAATTGCTATGTTTAAACGCAAAGATCGGATCATCCTACATCCCTAAGTTCTACTATAGGCAGTATAGGAACTTTAGGAACTGTAGATCCCTTCATTCATTCCAAAAACAATTCTGTGTGCTCAAATTGAGTGGAGTAATTTAGTCGAAGGATGAATTGAATTGCTTATCGATCAATCATTGACTCATAAATGTTCAATTGTTCCACCTTAGGATCAAGTGCATGCGTAGGAGAGCATGCGAAGTGTGATCTCTGACATCCGCCGACTCCCGCCACCACGGGCTAAGCCGGTGTCACAATATCTGCATATAATAGGACGTGGGTGTTACCTCCATTATAACATCAGAATGCACGACGCATCCCATAGAACCACTAAGCTCTCGGCAGAAATAAATTTCCATAAATATTAGTTTTGCTCACTCNTGATCTGAGGCTGGGCCCCTGGCTATAATGGGCCCCTAGGCACTGGCCTAAAGTGCCTTATGGATAATACGGCACTGGCAAAACCCTCCACTATAGTGGAGGAGGCTCATAGTCCAGCAGTGGACTGTAAAGGGCTGTTGATGATGATGATGATGATGAATCTTTTTAAAAGCTATTAAAATCACAATAATAAATCACAGTAAAAAAGTTTGTTNGCTCACTCGAACGATGAAACTAAGTCAATGCACGTGATATTTAAATAACATCCACAAATAGCTACGTTTCTCATATCTGTAATTGGTTCAGCAACACTGAGTTTTAAGTGTTTTTGTTATTGAGGTTGTAATTATTCCGATAAAACAGAGGAACATGCTAAACAGGGTCAGCATGTCAATAAATACCTCGAATCGCTTATTTCACGGTACTTAAGTGGGAACAGGTGACTCCATTTAGTACACGTTTTATCGATATCACAAACTGTATGCAAATAAGAGCAGCCATTCTGAGGAGCATCACGTTTTGTTCGCCGCCAGTTGAATGTCACTGACACTTTGTTCTTTATGTAACTTTACGAGCTCGCCACATGTCTTCTAAATAACTAAATTAACAGATTTCCAATAAGCCGGCTATGCTGTGTGTGTTAGTATAGTGTTATTAGTAGAATCTGAGATTTTATTGCATTTGTACTTAACTTTAACAATTATGTTTTATTAAAAAAATATGTTGTAACCAGTAAGTAGGTACACCAAACTTATGACATTATTGAAATTGGGTCTTATTTGTGAAAATAAATAAAGTGCTTTTGAGTTGCCAAAACTCTACATTGCAGCATTGGTTTGTGTAATAGTATGTAGTTGTAGCTATGAATATTTTTTGATGACATGATGCCTTTTACTACCTTACTTAGTTGGTTTCATGGTTAATAATAATAATAATAATACGTTTATTATCAGACCATTATGATCCATACATTGTGTTAGTAACAATATTATACTTAAAATCTAGGTTAGTAGTAACATAAATCAGTCAAAAAACCGGTTTCTGGATCCATGCATGTGAATATNATGAATCTTTTTAAAAGCTATTAAAATCACAATAATAAATCACAGTAAAAAAGTTTGTTTAAAAAAGTAATCTTTGGAACTACTGAATTTGTACTTTTACCGGTAAAAAGCTACTACATTATTTCTCAATGACATTCGATTTTCTTTTAGAGGCTGAATTTCACCGGGGCAAAGCTAGCTAGTAGATCATAGGATCAATAAGTATTCTAAAATAAAAGGTTAATCATATTTAACACTTCCTTTTGAGCCATCTGCTGTGGCGACCGGGACAAGTAATATTTTTATCAGTCTATTGTTCTTTGACCTTTAAACTTTGAACTACTCGTATGTTTGACAATAGAAATGAACGAAAAGGAAGACACCTGTCTGACTGTCATTTTAAATAATACATATTTTACCAGTACCTATGTTTTGAAAATTACGATTAAAACGCAGACATTGAAGAGGGAATGGTGCGTACAGCGAGAAAGTTAATCAACTTGTTGATGTAACTAATTAAATATTGTTTGAATTTTCAACCGGATACCTACGTCAGAGATACCCAAAATAATCACATGGAACAAATATCACACCTGTTGCATTTCAATATTAAATATTTGCGTCAATGTTTGGATTTAACCCTCAACCCTAATGTTACCCTTTTGGCTTTTAAATGAAATTTAACATTTCGTATACTCTACTTTTCATTTCTAATTTAGATTGGTGAAGCAAACAAACGGTATGTCACATTGAATATTTGAGAAAGTTACAAAGATCGGTGGTCCGTGGAACCGGTTTAGCCGACCATATGATGGAAACTATCATGATGCACTAGGTTACTAGCGTTCTGGCGGCGATAAATCTCTTGGCAGCCGCTCTGACCGACACATAGAGAATGTACAGACAACGGCACATCAAGCTAAACACTGGTATCTTATGCAGTTGTAATAAGAGTGTGTTTGCAACTGCAACAATCATGTTGTCTGATGGTCTCTCGACTGTAGCAGACCAGCTGTTGTAGGCCACTGGGACGGCAGCAAGGGCACTGATGGGGAAAATACTGAATGTGTAATGATGTGTGTGAGCCACGTGTTACGCTCACTGAGCTGGTCCCGGCGGCTAAACGTTACACTCGTAATTTGAAACCAGAAGTGCTGCCATCGGCTCTGCGGTTAACCAATGGCACACTCAATCAAGCACCGATATTCTACCCCTGATCACTTCTTGCCTCAAATCAGAATTTGCGGTTGGAAGAATTCTCCCAGCAATAAGTCAATCTACCGTTTTCCGCTGTCTAATTCTAATTCAGTGGTCAATCTGAAAATAACCAAGATTCAAAATAAAAGCTGCACCTTTGAAAATCGTGGGTGTACAATCATTTATAGGTTTCCATCGCAGCTGCCGACCGCCGGCATACCTACTCAATGTTTGGACGAAGACAAACTATAGATGGGAAAAACGGGTGCGAAAGAGATGTAAAGTAAAACCGGGAGAAAGGGAAAGAATCTGTTCTCTGGTGAGATAGAACGAGATGCACGATCGGAAACCACAAGATGTCTCAATTCCACGAGGCGAGCCCTGTGCGGTCCTGCCAGACATAAAACTTTGTAGAATAGTATTCTTTTATTTGTTGTTGGAGCTAAGAAGTTATGTAATTTAAATATTTGAATAAATTCTACTTCAGATGGTTTAATTTAAAACAAATATTTTGCCATTTTGGTATTTTTGTAACTAACTGATTAGCAGCCATACAAGATTTTACAACTACAGATCTAATTTCTCTATCTGAAATTCCGCAAACTGATCTCCATTTTTTGTTTACCAATGTAAACAATAAATAAATCACACATAAACAATGGATGGTAATTTATAAAAAAAATATGGCCCTATAATCTAAATTGCACATAACATTACGGCCCACACGAGTTTCTCTCGGTGTAATAGAGCGGCGCGCGCAGGCTGATGTCTCTATCGCGCCGCGCCGACGCGTGCGCCGCGCCCGGCCCGCTGCGACTTAATTGCTTCATCTTGCATACAACCGACAGTTCCAACATTACACGTAAATAACGTACCATGTCTACATTAACATTATCAACCTTGCAGCTCTTTTTATTGTGCTTTTTATAAGAGCCTAGTTATTTTCCGTTATTTATAGCAACTATTTATGTTTTTGTAGTCGGTAATCCACAAATTCATTACCACAGCTCCCTTTTGGGGTTGAAACTGCGACAGTGACCCTAATATCTTGACTGAAAAGATGACTTAAAAGTTGTTACTTATTGAATGTTAGTGAGAGATTTTATGAAGATTTTGCAAATGGGTCTGGCGAGGACCACCGCCGGGCTTGCGTGCGGGATTCTAGGAAAGCGCTACCTTCCCCGAACGAACCCGTCCTTACAGGCAGGTAGCTATAGTAGACTCTCGGCTCGACAATTTCAAAGCTTTCTATAATTACATCCATTTACTGGTATTATGTAAGCTTACATTCCACTAAACTTACTGAAGGTCAAGGATTTTTGGGCCAAGTAGAAGATTATTCTGGAAAGTTCATCTGAGATGTTTGGATTTCAGCTAACTTGTTGACTTTCACATGTTTGATAGTTCGTTAAGATGACATACTATAGTTGTATCAGTAGTAATTAGAATGTATTTTGATAAAATATTAGCGAATGACATGACTTGTTTTCAGACAGTACTGACTGAGATATTACAAGTCATAAAAATGCCAGCTGTTCAAATAACGCAGCACTATCTTTACAAACAGCATTAATTCTTGCTGAAGACATTAATGCTAAATCTGTACTTATAGCCATGATCATAGACATGATGATGATAGTAAACATGATCATACCATGAAGTTTACTAACTCATCAGAAGTTAAAGGGTTCAACTGTTGGACTGTTACCAGCCATGAAGATTCTATAAAATTATGCACTAACATCGGTTTGTTATCAATGTCTTGTTATTTTGTGTGCTATGTTATGATGGCCTTTAATTATGAAATACGCGCGGCCTTGATAGTACGCACAATTACCGCTAGTCAGCGCCACTGTTCCATGCTGCCGCGTTCCTCGGCCGATGCGACTGACATTCGCAGAAAAACAATCACACGTGCAATATGACAATCGGAACTTGACACTGTAAGTATTGCTGATTGAGGGAGCACTGCACCTTTTCGAGTTCAGAAAGCGCTAGCGCGGCGTCTACCCAGCTGGTGCGGATGTACAGGTCGGTGCTGTGGCGCGCCTCGGCGGCGGAGGGGCTCTCACGCGCGGCACCCGCTATCCGAGGATTCGAAGGAGCCTCGGAATCGGGAGCCACCATGATCTCGGGGCCAGGCTTGTCACCAGTATCCTCATGAAGACGGCCGGGGTCCGTCTGGCGGCGCACGCTGTCATATCACTCGCCGCCACATAACCACACACTTGTACACTCGGATCCTTCACTTCTATCTATCACTGAACCGTTCGAAACACGGAACGATACCGAGTTTCGCTAAAAAATCAATGCACCGTGTTCGCGTGTCGACACTGGCGCGACTTGAGCAACACTGATTCGAGTACTGAATGCGTAGACTGGATGTTTGTTGAGCCGCCATCATTGTTCGACCGCTTATGTTGCCGTTCTGGGACACGACAACGACCGAGAACCGGCGAGCGGAGCCGAACCGGCTTGCCTGGGGACCACACACGTGATAAGCCTGTCTCGCTCACTCCGAGAGGGGCGAAGCCCGGCAAAATAAAAGCATTGAATGAAGCAGCGCAGCGGTACCACCGGCCACATATGATCTACTACACGTTATCAAAAGCATGCACAATTAACTCGATGCAACACCAGGTATTGACAGTCCAAAATAAAAAAAACATGACGCTTAAAATTCCACCAACTGAAAGTAGGAAAACAACACTGAGAATGTTGTTTGGAATTCTTAGCATCACCTGATGACATTGGACACCAAAAAGTTGGTCGTATGTCAGAGACAGTTCAAAGCAGTGTATGCGCGCACTCTGAAGAGTTATTACATTCCCACAATTACCACAAAGAGAGGGCGTTTGCTAACTAAACATTCACTCTGTATACAGATAATAAAGGCGGATCAAACATTCGGACGCACCATATCATTTTGTTTACAGAGTTTTCTGAGTAAAAAGTCGAGCGAGCTCGCCCCCGGCAGGGCGGCGGGTGCAGACCGGCCTTTTGATGTTACCGACATAAAGCGCCGCCAGCGGTGATTTAACTAATGAATTTATTTAGCGGGCATGCCGAGTGAGTGCCGTCGAGTCCTCCAAGCGGAGCTACTAGCGGCAGCTAGAGTAACTGCCTATCAATCAGCTAATCTAATCCACTTACTTGCTTTCATTTGATATTTGGTCCTTCAAGCCGGATATTTGCGTAAATTTTATAAATCTGGAAGATAAAATAAACGCACTAAAAGAAGAAAATAACATCTAAAATTGTCTAGTAGGTATTATAAAATATACGGATGACTACACACACAATCACATCATGCTAAACAATATTTGAATTTTATGCAGTTGTGTAAGATGTATGCAAAAATGTGTAAGAAGTCTGATGTGCTGTCGACTGTACATAACCATGATCACCTTTTAAACAGACATTGAAGTTATCTCATAATGTAACATACAATATAGATAATTTTATCAATTAAAACGATCATTGTCAAGTTGAAGAATTAATGTGGCACGATAAGAAAAGTCGCCGAAACACGTATAGCAAGCTGAATCAATAAACGTACGGGTTTCGGCTATACGCGGGCCGAATATAATAGAATGTAAAACAAAGAATTATACCTAAGTAATATCACTGTTTTATGGCATACTAAATCAAGTGTCTGCGCTGAAATTGTGTCTGTATTTTAAGTACCAACCTAATTTATGATCGTATCATTAAATTTAAATGTCGGATAAGAAATAACAAAGAAATGCCCTTCACAGATTTTTTTCTTGTATCATGTAGTTATAAATAGTAATTATATTGAAGCTAAAATATTTTTACTATGAAAGATCTAGGTAGAGCTTACGAGTAATATGACTTAGACCAAGTTCACAAACCCAAACTATCTCGACGCTAAAATTATTAGAGTTATACGTATGGTGATAATTTTACTGTATTCGGCTTTATTATTATTATTAGTGCGGACTACACTTTTTGTCTTTGCTACGTTTGCCACTGCATGAAAAATGGGAATGAAGATTAAAGCTTTTTTAAATAATAACTGAAAATAATTTACCTAATTTTAATTCAAACCATTACTTAAGTACTACGAAATCAGAGAAGAAAGCAATCTTAATCTGATAACCGTCTGTCAACCAGGATTGTATTAAAATGTACGTATGATGTGAAAAGCTCTCGGATAAATCGATTCTACGACAAAACTTTCAGATCGATAACCATTGTGTTGGGAGAAATCCGATCACTTAAAAAGTCAAGATTTATAATAGAATCGGACAAACGGATTAACATCTCATAGCACATCTGTCGACAAGTCGAATTCACCTTCCCGGAACCGAAAGAGGTGTAAACGTCCCTTTATACTACACTGTTCAAAACGCACCCATAGATCGATCGCGAGATATTACCGCAAAGGCAACCAATAAACTATCAATAAAACTGTACAATTTAACTCTAAACTTTGCACCAAGGTTATAAAGCTTACATTTGCGCTGAGCTTTTGGAATTAAGAGGTTTTGGTTCCTATGGGGTAGTTTAACCTGGCCATTTTGACACTTCGGGCGAAAACGCAGCGGGATATCGCTTTAGACATCTTCTTAGAACCTGTGTGAGGTACGGAATTGAGACCACATTGTGGAACATTTCAATTATAATTACTGGCCAAGTTAAAGCATAAGCACAGGTAGACAGGTCGAATGAAAAAAATGATGAAGATACCAACAAATCAATATGAAGGCAATTAAAATGATTTTTGAATTGGAACGTAAAGGCGTCAGTCAATGATGCAAAGTAATTTAAAGTTCACATAGATACTGCATTGCTTAATGTTTTGAAAGTAATACGTGAGTCATTAATAATTTATAATGCACATGGTCAGTGCCAAATCTTCCCCAGAACCTCGCATGCATTTCAATACGTTTTGGATGCGTAAGAATCCGTATCCAGCACGATGGAATCTTGGCATCCGCGTCCGTAAAATTCGCTACGTGAATAAAATTTAATAATTTAAGATTTCAGGAAATATAAAATATCTTCTGAAACAAAAAGCAAAATCAAGCTACCTGAAAAGGAATTTACCTTTATTTTATTTTCCTTACCTTTATTTTCCTACCTGCTTTCAAGTTACGAGCTCTAAAATTATAAACATAAATAAAATCACTTGCAATAAACAGTTCCTCAAATAATGTTGAATAATCTGTTGCTCAAAAATCTACAAATGTGTACTAGGTCTTCGTCTAATTTTATTTGTTCCATCTTCTTATCATTACATACTACGCTCTTAAATATGAAGAACTTACGTAAGCACTCGTGTAGAGACTAAATAAGTTAATTATTATCAAACGTTAATGGCAGGTTACTGGCACAAGTGAGTGGAGGTGCGATAAATATAAAAAATTCTCACGATTTAAGCATTAAACCACGTCAAAGTTAAACAAATACCAAACAAATGATTTCATGTCTCTATTTAATCACTCAAGACTGTTGCGGCGAATTTAAAAGCTAGAGAAGTTATGCGTTACACATGGCGCTTAGGGTTTAGGCATGCTGGTCAGTGCTGTGCTGTACTGCGGGGCACCGACAGCTTGACAGTGACGGATTTATGGCGGGACATCGCGTCACGGCGGCGACTTGAATTTTAGCTAGATAACCTTGTTTTAGTAGCCAATGCAATAAATGCTGGAAATGCCAATGCATTATAAGATACTAACATAGCCTAAGTTTTTACTAACATTATGGATCCATGTTATCCGAAATAAATATTTTTTATTTTTTTTTTTTTTTTTTTATTATAATGTATATGAGTATGCATTTTTCTAAACTGAATGAGGAATCTACATTAAATCGTGGGATAACTTTTCACTAAAGAATAAGTTTGGCACATTGACTGTTTCAGAATAGAAATTGGTATTTTATTCTTCAGTTGAGAGATATCTGATGACTGAAAAATAAGCCCTAAAACAATTGAAAATGAGATCAAAATTTTTGAGGACGTACTATTTTTTAACAGATCTTTAAGATCGTACTTTTATATTACTTCATAGTTTGTTATTTCAAGATACGCTTATAATCTTTTTTACTGACCAAATCTTTTGTATGACTAAATGCTATCATATGCTTACCAGACGTGTGTCGGTCCAACTTGATATCTAATATCCGGTCTTCTCTTGACGTGAGAAATTGGCAAATTGATTTGACACGATCGGACAAATGTGAGGTCTAAATTGACGTACAGTTTTCTTACTGCATAAATAAATACTTTTTAAATTGTAATTAAACTGTCACTTGTTTCAGTTTTGAAGTCTCGTTGGGCACGAATGTTAGTACGTATAGTAAACTAAGTTCTCGCAAATTCATCCATCTTTGTCATTTTCTCCTTTTGTAAGAGAGCCAGAATGCAGTCTCCCCTTTCTCATCAATTTATTTCCAGAGATCGTTTATGTTTTCTTAGCTTAACAGTTCCAGTGCCACTCGTACTTATATCTATGATCGATGGCACTCCAGTTGACGAGACGCGTCAGTCGGTTGCGCCGGCGCAAGACGCGTGTCGCAGGTTTTATTGCCATCGTAAACTCCGGAATGTGTCTAAGGAATATAGATTTTGAATCGTTGCTAAGACATAGGATCTGCGATTCACAAAGCTGATAACGTCGGAGTTTTGTTTGTGAAATACCACATAGAGACTTGCCATGAATTTTGGAATAAAATACTGAAGAATGACTAACGCATACGAGGAGGCTTAAAATTCTTCATACCGCCTTCTTTATATGATTTTTAATGGTAATTAAGTAATTCATGGTTTCATTTCTTAAGACACGAAAACAAACATAACATTTAGTATTTATGACACGTTATTGATGATCGCGGTATTTCATTAATTATGTCTTATTACTAAATGTGACTAAAGAATATCAAATTAAATACTTACGCTTTACAGGCAGATGTAAAGACTTTTGTAGAGCCTTAAAGTATCTTTAAAAACTGGTCGCTTGATATAGTACGGGTAGGTATCTGAGCAGGATGTGGTTGACTATTTTCCAGGCAATAAAATCTCGGTTTGTAATAAAAATCAAAAGCTTTGACAGAAGAAACGTTAAACCTGTGTAATACCTAAGAATATGATAGCATTAAGCAGCGATAATGCGGATTAGAGTTGACGCGGAAAATAAACCCCACGACGAATTGACATCCACCGTCGCGGCCGTGTATGAGTAGTAAAATGTGTTTACAGCAATATTAACAGGGAAAAGTACAATAAAAGTTGTCATGGTCTACAGACGGTACGACTTTTCGTATAAGCACATAGTATTTTGCGGATTTTCGTAGCACTTACGCCATGCTACGACTTTTCTACTCGTAAATATGTGCTACGTTAGTTTTATTTACTTTA